TTTGTCAACCGATTTCCAAAATTCTTGTTTTGTTTGAAAGGGTGTACTCCCGAGATGGTCCCATTTCCATGACGTCAGGATCTGATGATGGGATCCTAGGGAAACAAAGGGGAGCTTTCGAAAATTGTAGCGGCAAGAAATGAGTCGATTATGTTTTTCAATTAGTATTTTTAAAGACTACAATTTGGTAAGGGTCTGGAGTCGACCTGACGATGGAGCCGACAGACAGTCGAGAGTTATTTTTTGAAGTCGTTTTTTTAAACGCAGTCTCTATTTTTTTTCTTCATCTATCTTTTTTAATAGAGGAAGTCTATAGTGCAGTAGAGGACCGTCAAGGGTTAATGACGATGATGGCTATAAGTAGAAAAATGGACACAAACTCAGAGGCCATAGACTTTCAAAGAGCTCTGTTTATGGCCCGAATCAGGTGACCTCATTAGATATTTTTTCTAAAAGGTTGGGTTTTTAGAACTGTTAACTTGTTTGATGTACCTCATGGGAACGCAAGAAGTATGTATAATTATGATGAAGAAACGTGGACTATCAAAGCCAGAAAATAAACGCTCTCGAAATGAGGTGCTGGCGCAAGATGCTGAGGATACTGTGGACGGCTTACCGTACAAAGGTTTCTATTCTGAAAGCGCTAAATATAGACAAAACTCAGCGCTTTTCCACAGTCTGCTTGCAAAAGATCGTGTGATACATACATACATAAATATATATACAACATCACGCCTTTTATCCCCGAAGGGATAGGCAGAGGTACACATTACGGCACTTATAGCCACTGTACAATGTAACACCCACTTTTCACTATTTATGTTATGAATCCCATGTAATGGGGGGTGCCTAGCCTATTGCCAAATACCGGGCACATTTCCAGACTCCGTGCTTAATGACTTTTTCTTAAAAACCCAGTAATACTTTGCCCGACCCGGGAATCGAACCCGAAGCTCGGCAGTTGCACTAGCGACTACTCGGCTATCGAGGCAGTTATTGATGGGTGTTACTTCTGTGTGCACCTCTGCCTACCCCTTCGGGGATAAAAGGCGTGATGTTATGTATGTATGTACATCAATAACCGAATTTGAACCCTACCATAAAATGATAAAGTCGATAGTACGTTGAATAATTTCGACAAATTGGACTAACTTGATACGATGTCTTCTGGCGTATATAATAGAATCTATGACCTAAATATATTATAGTTAGACTAGCTTTTACCCGCGGCTTAGCTCGCGTCACAAAAGGATAAAAAGTAGCCTATGTGACATATACCAATACACACAGCGCCATCTATACCAATACTTATGTTTTCCCTCGGGTATATCAAATTTTTCCGGGATAAAAAGTACCCTATTATTTAATCCAGACTTCTAACTTTACGTCTGCAAAAATTCAAAGCAATCGGTTTAGTAGTTACGGCGTGAAAGCGGAACAAACAAACAAACAAGCTCACTTTCCAATTTATAATATGATAGTAAGGATGTCAAAACACACGCATTGAGTCACGTATCCCATACAGGTAACACCATGGTGGCGCCATTGTTCCATGGTGAGCTTCAAAGTACATCATGGTAATATTAGCAGAGAAGCATGTCTTTGTCACCACAATGCTCCCGGTGGGGGACCACCTTTATATTTGCGTAACTGTGTCTAAGCATTGAGCCCCACAATAGGGTAGATGCCTAATTTTATTTTAATGTCCGTCTGGTAGATTAATTTAAATCATTAGACACGTTAGTTGTTGTTGGTAGGCTTCAAATCCGAACCTTCGAATGCATGAGAAGCGGGCGTCTTGAACCTCCGGGCCAACACGACATTTATTTTTTATGGAATTAGCAGGTATTTTTTTTTTAATGGGGGAAAATCATCGAATGACTGCTCCCGCCTGGGTGAGGCGGGAGGGAGTGTCAGACTCTTACTGACTAAAAACCACCTCGTTCCTTCTCCTGCACGTCGAGCCGGAGCCCCGGTTACCCGTTAGGTTCTCCGCGACCAATTAGCAGGTATACGAACAGACGGACCACCCGACGGTAAGCAATCGGCGTCGCCTATGGACACCTGGAACACCAGAGGCGTTACAAGGCATCACCGGCCTTTTCGGGATTAGAATTTGAGGATTGTTCAGGATTCGGGATTGAGGATATTGGGGCGGGGGTAATTAGGTCTCCAGTTTGACATTGTTGACATTGTAGGTCTAACATAATAATAAGAAAAGAAAATATCATGCGAACTGCTAAGGAATGGAATTCCTTGCCAGAGGCTGTGTTTCCCGTCAAATATGACTTCAAGTCCCGAGTGAATAGGTTGCACATAGGTAGGCGTGCTCCATTGTCGGCCACATCATCGCTTACCATCAGGCGAGATGGTGGTCGTCGTCGACTTACAAAGTATAAAAAAAATAGGACATGAAACAAATTATTCAATTGGCATATAATTACTATAATTGCGTCTAATAATAATCTACAAAAACGTGGTTTATACATTAATTGAGATATTGGCTGACAGCACATTTATACATTTCTGCTTATTATAAGTTTTTAATAATTATAACTACACGATTGGCGCAGTAGCTGGGCAAACTGTTTGCCGCGCAACGTGTCGCAGGTTCGATTCCCGTTCGAAACAACTCTTTGTATGATCCACAGATTGTTGTTCCGGGTCTGGGTGTCATGTGTATGTGAACTGTATATTTGTAAACGCACCCAGGACACAGGAGACAATCCAAGTGTGGGGCAACGTTTATAAAAAAATATATGTACAAAACTCGTAAGCTCAGTGATTACAAGTAGGGCATTTGAACGATATACTGAATTGGATACTTCCTTAATCAAAAATAAAATATTTCGACTGTTCAATACAATAAAATATTAAACAATAATCACACTTTCATTAATTGATTTTATGACCAACTTAATTCTAGTATTTTTCTAGTGAATTTTTAGGAAATAAATATTCTGTTTGACGGTAAAAAAACGTGACGTCACAATACAGTCTCACTCCAAAACTCCTGTAAAACTGTGGTTTTTGACAGTTCGAAAAAAGTATTCAATTTTAGATAGTCTAGCTTCACTTTCAGACAGGCGGACGGACAATTAAATTTTTGACGTTTCAAAAGTACCTGATTAAAGATTAATTGAAATTAATGCTTTGACTTTGAAGTCAAAGTCAAAGTCAAAATTATTTATTTCAGTTAGACCAGAGAGGCACTTTTGAACGTCAATAAAGAAAATTAACAAGTGAAGCTATTTGCTCATTCCAAGGTGTAGATTCCTATGGAGAAGAACGAGCAAGAAACTCCATAGGTTACTCTTTTTCAATCAAGTTCACAATTCTCCAGTTACATAGTTTTGTTGTTTGGGTTATGCGAGAACAATGTAACACTAAAATGACTTGAATATGGAACTTTGGCTGACTGTAAACCGACACATGCGTACTGCCTTCAGAGCGGGTCCGCTCAAACTGTTGTGGTTCTTTCCTCAAAAGGCTACTATAGAAAGAACTTGCACGGTTCTCACACATAATCTGTTATATATATTGTCTGGACTTTAAAAGAGACAGACCTCTGAGTTTGTTTCGGCATTTCTTCTCAGAGTAGTCAGTTAGGAAATGTCGACCTCATCGTTCGCTTGATAAAATTGACGTGTAAAAGTGCTGCCTTGTAGCTTATTTGCAGAAATAAATTCACTTGTTTCACTTGAACGGCAATTGCTACAATTACTATATCAACAGTCATCAGTGTTTTAATGCATGCTCGTCGGTTAAGGGTACTTTTAATTTGGGCCTTCCTATATAGGAGGGGTTCACCATAGCCTCCTCAGACTCCTCACCAGTCCTCGCTTGGGAGAAGATTTGAACATCATGGTTAGTGAACATGAGAACAGTGAGCTGCGCGACGCCGCCGCGACCGCGCACGCTGCTCATGAGGAAGAACCCCTCTGTGGTTCGAAACTAGTAGAGCTTTTCTCAGTATATTCACGTGAGTAACCCGCGTTTTTACTTAACATCAGTTTTATATTTATATATCACTGACTTTGACTGCACGGTTGGCGCAGTTCACCAATTGGCTGTCGGTTGCGTGTCGCGGGTTCGATTCCCGCACCGAACAATTCTTTGTGTGATCCACAGATTATTGTTTCGGGTCTGTGTGTGATGTGTATGTGAACTTGTATGTTTGTAAACGCACCCACACACAGGAAACTCCTAGTGTAGAGCATTGTCTTTTGAAAAAATATAAAAATTACTGTCAAAGAACGCTGCACGATCTCTGTCAAATGTTCTTTATCTTAGTCGGGTATATGACACCCGCGTGAAGAGTAGGGTTGGTAACATAATGTTTTATTTACTTTGTCGTCTCCACATTATAGACTATTAATTGATATTTGTAAAAAAACGCAAAGCAGTTGTAACGCCTCTGGTGTTGCGGGTGTCTATGGGCGACGCCGATTGCTTACCATCAGGTGATCCGTCTGCTCGTTTGCCGCGCTAATATATAAAAACAGCTTACTGTACCTACATAATGTGTATCTATTCTCATATATATAGTTTCTACTTACATATTATATTTTGAGCGATTATTAGTACATTAACGCTTCAGTAAAAAATCATCAAAATCTGTTGAGCCGTTTCAGATAATATGTTGACAAAATGTAGATGTTCTAGGAATCAAAGATGGCTGCCCAAAAAGCCTACGTAGATCAGGAAAACTGTAAAAACAATAGTAAGACTAAATAACAAACTAACAAACAGGGAAAAATAATCTCTAAACTGCAACAAATAGAATAGAAAATCGCGAGTCAGAAAATCGCAATACAAAATTTTCTATGAAAACAAAATTACATTTGCGGTTCACAAACTCTTTTCCTTTCACATTTCTAACTGCATTTACGTTTGAACGACCGCAAATGCATTTGTAAATTTGAAATGAGAATGCAGATTTGGCGCGCCACGGATATAAAAGGCGAGAGAACCTCTTTTGAACCAGTGCGACTGAAACAGCCGTTCCCACCGGTGTTGTCACTCTAAAAAATCTTTTTTTTTAAATAAAGATGTTGAGTGTACTATTTTTCATAACCGTCGCCATCTTGGTGGCGTATAAATTTTATTCTAAGAACACCGTTACTTATGAAAAAGTAAATAAATACGGAGAAAATAAAGTTATGGTTTTGAAAGAGGCGCCGGGGCCTACGCCATTACCGATTATCGGTAATTTACATCTGTTGGGCAAGCATGAATCCCCATTTCAATCTTTCACCGATCTTGCGAAAGACTATGGGGATATCTTTAGCTTGAAACTGGGAACAGCGAAATGTTTAGTAGTCAACAATTTGGAGTTAATACGCGAAGTTCTGAATCAAAATGGGAAATTTTTCGGCGGTCGACCCGACTTCCTACGCTTCCATCAACTCTTTGCCGGAGACAGGAATAATTGTGAGTACCTTTCTTTATTTCATTTATTATTTTTTCATTATATCATCTTCAACAGCCTATAAATGCCTATTGCTGAGCAAAGCCCCTTCTCACACGGCATTAGCCACGGGCGTGAGCCTATTGCCATGTACCGGGTATAATTCCAGACTCCGTGCTACAACTGACTATTTTATTTAAAAAACCAATAATGGAATCTGGGAATAGAACCAGAGACCCCTGCATCAGTTTTAGCACGGAGTATAGAATTGTGTCCAGTATATGGCAATAGGCTCACCCCCTATTACATGGGATTCATAACATAAATAGTGAAAAGTGGGTGTTACATTGTACAGTGGCATTAAGTGCCGTAATGTGCATCTCCACCTGCCCCTTTGGGGGTAAAAGTCGATGATGATTTTATGTTTATGTTTTATATAAATTACGTACCTATCTTCTACCTTCTTTATGACTATCTTTTTCTCTACTACCTTCTTCGATACATTAACTATCCAATATGAAAATAACTGTTAAATCGCTATGTATTTCTTGACCGGTATAACCTGGGAGTCTTCAAGGCCCGAGTGAATAGGTTGCTTATGGGACGACGTGCTCCATCGTAGGCCGCATCATCGTTACCACCAGACGACATAGAGGTCAAATGTAGGCCCAGCAAATTAAAAAAAAGTAAAAAAAAATATCGGTTCCATAATTTCGGAGATTACCGCGGTCAAAGAAATATATTTTAAACGTTGCCCCGTACTAGATTGTTGTCCTGTGTCGTATGTGCGTTTACAAACATACAAGTTCACATACACATGACACCCAGGCCCGGAACAACAATCTGTGGATCATAGATACAAAGAGTTGTTCCGTGCGGGAATTGAAACCGCGACACATTACGCGGGACCCAGTTGCCCAGTCACCGCACCTCCCACGCAGTCAAATATACAAACTCCTTAGGTTTTTTATATTAAGATTAAGCTAGCTTTCTCTTGCAATTAGCTACTGATCCTGTATAATCACACTAAAGTCAAAGTCAAAGCTAAACTCTTTGAGTACCGTCATTATAGACACAATTATAGAACAATAGGTGGCGGTCACCGGTGTCTTCGCGATCTTTGACAGTTTAAAAAGTGATAGAAGGTTTATATGTATAATATACATGCATATTGCACCCGTGCGAAGCCAGGGCGGGTCGCTAGTAAAACAGTTTTTTTTTTAATACTGAGTCACATAATGAAACACAAAGGCTGCCTCGTTGGCCAAGTGGTCGCAAGTGCGACTACCAGGCAAGGGGTCTCGGGTTCGATTCCCAGGTCGAGCAAATTATTACTAGAGTTTAAAAAAAATCTCAGTAGTAGCACGAAGTCTGTAATTGTTTCCGGTATTGGCTATAGGCTCACCCCCTATTACATGGGTCCCATAACATAAATAGTGAACAGCGGGTGTTACATTGTACAGTGGCAAAATGTGCACCTCTGCCTACCTCGTCGAGGATAAAAGACTTGATGTTATGTTATAATGAAACACAGTTAGCTAGGCTATGCTGGAACTTTCATTTCAAAATATCGAAGTGAAATCGAACGCGGTCCGCCATGTCATTGTTTGTGAGAATAATCTCGACCAATGACGGGCGAGAATGCGATCGAGATCACATCGAAAGTTCAAATTGTCAGTTACAGAATAGTCAAGTTGGAGTCCACGTCCTCATCTCGATTATCACAACTCTTTGAGTACACGAGTTAACTCGTCGAGTACCGTCATTATAGACACAATTACAGAACAATAGGTTGCGGTCACCGGTGTCCTCGCGGTGTTTGACAGTTTAAAGCCGACTTTTTAATCAAAAAAAGAATAAAATTACCAGTTGACAGTTTTTAGTATAGAAGAATTGTCAAAAATTAAAACTTATTTTCTGAGGTTACCGGAGGCCAATTACCCTTACCCCCTTCCCTTAAACCTTAATCTTCCTAATCCCTGAATCCCCAATATTCCTCAAATTCCTAATCGCTAAAAGGTCGGTAACGCATTTGTAACGCCTCTGGTGTTCCAGGTGTCCATGGGCGACGCGCATTGCTTACCATCAGGTGATCCGTCTGCTCGTTTATCGGCTTATGCTTATGAGTGAGGACTCACACGACGAAACACAGCGCAAGCGTTGTTTCACGTCGGTTTTCTGTGAGGCCGTGGCATCACTCCGGTCGAGCCGGCCCATTCGTGCCGGTACTTTCCTCAATCAAAAATAAATTATTTCGACTGTTCAATACAAGTCAATATTAAAAAATATTCACACTTTCATTCATTGATTTTATGACCAACTTAATTTTAGTATTTTTTCAGCTAATTTTTAACAAATAAGTATGCTGTTTGACGCTAAAAAACCGTGACGTCACAATACACAATCGCGTACGAAATTCATAGAGAAAAAAGTATTGAATTTGACTAGTCGGCAATTATATATATGTGACATACTTAAAACAAACTTTATTACTATATCTATGGTGACGTAGGTACACTATGTATGTGTGTCAAAATTGTGTTTACAATTACAATTGAAATTTAAACAAACTTAATTTTTTTGGCATATGTAAACGAGCAGACGGATCACCTGATGGTAAGCAATCGGCATCGCCCATGGACACCTGGAACACCATAAGCGTTACAAGTGCGTTAACGGCCTTTTGGGGATTAGGAGTTTGAGGAATTCAGGAATTGGGGCATTGGGGAAGGGGAATGTAATTGGGCCTCCGGTAACCTCACTTACAAGACGAAACACGACGCAAGCGTTGTTTCGGCAGTCTCCCCAATCCCCGAATCCTCCACTATCCTCAAATTCCCAATACCCAAAAGGCCGGTAATGCATTTCTAACGCCAGGTGTCCATGTGCGATGCCGATTGCTTACCATCAGGTGATCCTAGTCTATACGTATACCGGCTTATGCCATAAAAAGAATATATATGCATCTCTACCGTTTTT